CGTGCTTCTCTCCACCTCCTCCTCCCCCTACCCCTTCCTCATTATGTCCTGGGGCGGAAAGGGAATATTCTTGTTTTAAAAATAATCGCCGCCAGCCGGCTCGCGAATGGCGCCGTTTGTAATTGGAAAAAGTCTCGGCTCACGTACAAGAACGTTGTTTCCAACGCGCGTTTTTCCCCCCTCCTCCCCTCTCTCTCTCTCTTTCTCTTTCACTCGCTCGCTCTACCTTTCTTCATTTTCTCTCTCTCTCGAATTTCCGTTTGCCACGAATTAGGATTTTTCTCCTAGCGCGAAAGAGACGCTCGTTCACTCGGTTATCTTGATGTATGGGTGGAGGAGGGTGGATCTTCTTGGACTTTTATTCCCATGTGTCATACCGTTCGAACTCAAAACTACAGTTCTTGTAATAATTAACAATCCTTTTGTGATTAATTAGTTGCATCTGAGAAAAGCTTAGAAGTGATACAATATGAAACGTGTCGAAAATATTTCTCGTGCTACGTAAGGGTTGTAGTCGAATTCGTCGAGTATACAGGAAATAGATATATATATATACGCGAGTCTTTCCTCAAATTTATCCTTATCTTCGTTTCAAAATTACGGAACAATTGGTAACTGAAAGAGACAAGGGAAATCTGTTCCATTACACGAACATCCCCCCTCCCCGTTCCAACTATCTGGCAGCGATTTCTCATCGCTATTCACGCCCGGTTACGAGGGCACGATTTTCCCCCCCAGCTGTATTCACGCTGGGAACGTGGTTTCCATATCTAACGTCGGTGCATATACGTATTATACAAGGTGGGTTCTTAAAAATTGATGAGAAGGCCGGGGCACCACGCGAAACTAGACTGTATCCAGATCCTGCATCTGGTATTCATGATGCTCCTTCGAGGATGGGGGGAAGGGGTGGATCTCCAGTTGGCGTGATCCAACGAGGAGGGGGAGGGAGGAAAAAAGGATAAGTCGAGGAAACGCGTGCTCGCTGCGAATTTACCGCGATTAGAATATATCGCGACGGGAATGGCCGAGCGCAATATCGTTCCACGGACGGAAACCGCAGCCTTGAAAGCCCCGAGTCGGAGGGAGGTGTGGTTAAACTACCGCAAAGCAACGAAATGTCAGCATTAATATTTCAACCGTCTCTTGTGCGCCGGCCAACGGTCGCCTCTATGCTTATTACACTTATTGTATCGTGGCGTGGTTTAAATATTAAAATCTCGTTTTCCTTCGAACGCGTTCGATTCGAATTTCGGAAGTCGAATGAAGTCGAAAAAAAAAAAAAAA